GTGTGCGTGTGTGCGTGGTGCGTGTGCGTGTGCGTGTGCGTGTGCGTGTGCGTGTGCGTGTGCGTGTGCGTGTGCGTGTGCGTGTGCGTGTGCGTGTGCGTGTGCGTGTGCGTGTGCGTGTGTGTGTGTGTGTGTATGTGTGTGTGTGTGTTTGGGTGTTTGGGCGCGCGTGTGTGCGAACAAAGAAAATGACGCCCGGGCCCCACATTTGCGGTCGAGGCGCCGGCCCCCGGCCCTCTGGCCCAGCCCCCCGTTATATGTATAATCCTGCACCACGGCAGGGCAGGCGGGCTCAATAGCCGATTGCGGAGGAGCCCTGTCGATGCGGAGCTTGACCATCCGGACCCGCCGATAGGGATATCATCTTCCGGCACCCTGCCTCGAGCGTCGCAGCCTCCGTGTAATCATCCTCACCCAGCAGCCCTCCGACATGAAACCCAGCACGCCGAAGGTTCTTAAGGTAGACGTTCAAATACTGCTGCCCCTCGCCAGTGTGACAGTGGACGATTTTAAGCTCCACCGGCCCGAAGTTCACCCACTTCGGCTTGTTGTCGCGCGCGCCGAAAGTTGAAGTGGAAGCCTCCGGGCTGCGCCTTGTCTGCCCACGTCCCTGCGACGTTGACCTCCTGGAAATAAATATCCGAGCATCGTGCTCGCAGTCGACGCGCGTCGACGTGCGTCGGCCCTGGAGATGTGCAATGGCCGTTGCACATCTCCAGGGGTCGTCTTGGAGCCGTCTTGGTGCCCTCCCGGAGCCGTCTCGGAGCCTCCTGGGAGCCTCTCGGCGCCTCAAGGGGGCTTAAAGGGGCCCCAAGAGCGTTCGAAGAGGGCCTCAAATATGGTGTGCAATTGCGCACCGTCAGACGCCTTCTCGGAGCTCTTGGGGTCCTCTTGGGGCCTTCTTGGGATCCTCTCGGGACCTTTTTGGGCCCCCACTGGTCCCTCTTAGGGCCTTGTTGGGGCCTGTTTTTTTTTGGGGGGGGGTTCAAGAGAACCCGTAGGTCCGCGGGGATCTCCGGAGGTTTGGAGGGCCCGAGGGTGCCTAAATTACATGGACATACGTACATCGTGCAGGACATACTTACATCGTGCAGGTGTGATGGCCAGTGCAGTTGGTTGAGGCTGTAGGCGAGGCCTCTCCTTCCTCCTTCCTTCTAGGCCTCCTCTTCCCGCCTCCCCGTCTCTGCCTGTCCACACTCCCGGAACGAAGGGCTGAGAGCGAGATGAATCCGCATCACCTCAGGAAGGCTTTGAACGAAGCAACGCCAGCCATTACTCAATTGACCGTCAACCGTGATTGCTGACGCATGCGAGCACGGTGCCTGTACCACGCGCCGGAAGGATAATTCCCCCCATGCCAGTGATGCTGGTTCCCAGTGCAATGCAACTCCCTCCTCCTCCTCCTCGCCGTCTGCTTTCTTCTCCTCCTCCGCCTACCTCTCGCCCTCCTCGTCCTTTTTCTATGGAGCGCGGGCGGGCCCGAAGACGCTGGTGACCGTCTCCAAAGAAGAGACGCTACTGAGCAGCCGCCCGCCTGGTAGGACCGCGTCGGGCGTTCCCGACGGGCGGCTCGCGCCAGAACGGCCCCAGTCGACACTACGCGGGCGGACAAACTTCCCCCCCCCCCCGAGGTCGCCGCCGAGTCTGCACGACAGCTGGAATGTAATCCGCCGCCGCGCCTGCACGGCAATGCCGCGTTAGAAAGCCCGTGGACTGTCTGGCTGGGTTTATATTTTCTTCTGGACGACCCTCCCCGCTACTAACGTCGGTACGAATGCACCCCTGTGCCTGTATACGCATCCAGCATGTACATCGCTGTGCCTGCGTACACCACAAAGCCCGTGTACACCTCCAGGGCACGGCCCCATACCCCCGTTGCCTGCGCGGACAACAGTAATTATCTTTGCGTACGACAATGCTGGACACCACCGCGCCTGTGTGCACCACAATTGCCGCCGCAGCCGGCGTGTGCGCTATGCACGCCGAACTGCTCGTTGTTTCCACTGCTGGGTGTGCCGCCGCGCCTGCGCGGGTGCCACATCAGCCTGCGCGCGCCTCGCGCCTCTACATACCACAAGCAAATGCCTGCGCACGCTGCAAACACGTTCCGCGCGCACTACGAACAGCATACCTGCGCGCTAAACAACACGCGCTGCTGCAACGGGGGTGGGTGGGGCGGCGGGCGTTATGTTATCTACTGGGTGGGTGGGTGGGTTGGGGGCCACATAACGCGCGTTATGTGTTCGAGTATAAAAACTTGAGCTCAAGGGAAGGGCCGAGGGATTCGGCGGTGGACAAACCTCCCTTTAGCAAACCTCCCTTCAGTGAAAACGGCCTGGGACCGAAACCGACGGACCTGGACCCGCAAAAATGACGGCCGCGACGCCCTCTGGCGAACCGAAAACGGCCAATTCGCTAATCGACGTGTCAGGGTGGGGGGCCTACCCACCCCCGAGGGTAGGGGGACGGGGGGAAGGCTTCTCACAAGGAGGCTGCTCCTGAGAAGGCGCTGGCTCGACATCTGCACAGAAGGCCCGCGCCCTTCTAGGAAGCAGGGGTCCTTCTAAGATCAGGTCGGGCATGTCCCCCTACAGGCGGAGTTTGGGCGAACAATAAGAGATACCCAACAAAAATCAAAAATAATCATGGTAGGAGGTTTTATCCGCCCCCGAGGGAAGCGAGGATGGGAGATCCACGGGCTGGGGCCGGACCTGCCGCCGGCAGCACCCGGCGCGGGCGGGCCGTGTCTGTGCCTGCAGACGTGCCTGCAGAAGAGAATAGGCTGCACGCTCACAGCCAGATCGAGGCCCTCGAGCGAGCAAAACGCAGATCCTGCCACGCCACGTGCCTGGCGTGAAGTCGGGCCTGTCCCTCTACAGGAGGACGCTTCAAAACGATCAAAAAAATAGTCTCGGGACGATGTTCGGACCATTTTTGAACATGTTGGGGGTATTTTGGGGGTGTTCAAGTTTTCGCCAAAAATCCCCTGTAATGGGACACGCCCGACCTAAGCCTAGCGCCAGAGGTGGCGACATCGAAATAGACGCATGATGTCAACCTGCCGAGGCTGTTCCGAGGGCAAGCTCTGTGCGGCGCACAAACCAGACACGGTATGGCAGGCATGGGCATAACTACAGAGACAAGGCAGAGAGAGAACAAGGCACAGCGAGACAGAGGCACCAAGAGATAGAGACCCAGAAGGACTGCCACCAACACCGACGGGGACGCTAATCATCCGATGAACTGGCTGAGTGCCTGGACCGCTAACTGCCAGGTAGACTCAAAGGCCGGCGGACGAACGGCCAGACGATCAGCACACGACGAGACCGACGCGACGGGCAGGGCGGGCACGACGCAAGGGACGGGAAGGACGGATAGGGTGTGTGCCGGAAGAGCGCCCATGTCAGGCCAGCACGCTGCTGTCCGAAAAAGAGCTCTCGCCTTGAGGGCGGAGAATGTGGCAACGCCAGGCGAGCGTGCAAGAAATCCTGGCACCAAGCGCGCAGTCGGCATGAAGCGAGCGAGCCCTGAGGAAAACAGGCCCTGGACCCTGGGGCCTTCCCCCAAGACCAACTTTTCGTCTAGAGCAGCTGATTGATGGCCCTGGGGCCCGAGGAGAGCTCCGCGAGCCCGAAATCGGCGAAAAACCTCGGGACCCACTTCCCTCAGGACCCGCTTGCCTCATGGCAAAAACGCGCAGGACGGACGAACATGGGAGGCACAAGGACATACTAGTACTATACGTCCTCCCTGGAGGCGCGCGTCCGACCCGAACATTTACCCATCTTGTAGCACATCGTTTCCCGAGCGGTGTGGCCAGAAAGCGCCCGCCACGACGCACATACTACAAGATTTCTCGGTGCGCGCGTCAACCCGGTGAAGCAGTTGTCGGGCAGAGGTGCCAGTTGCAGACAGTCTCCACTTTCCCCTGCCCTGCCCCCCTTGCCTCTCCTTCGTCCTCTTTCTCCCGTAGCACTGCTCGAGTCCGTTTCCCCGGAAGGGGCCACACTGGCCAGGCAGGAGGCGCTTATGTTCGATGGTGGGCCTCAGGCGGACAAGAAAGTGCACTGGCGATCATTGTCGGTGATCCATCCTGCATCTTGCGATTGTTCTCTTCCAGATCATGTGCAATGCATTCCATACTCGTCGAGAGGGAGTGACTGCAGGTGCGGAGGTGTTGATTGTGCTCCTGCACACGATACTGTACCGTCTGCAGCGCCGTGCGGACCTCGCATTGTTGGTGCGTGTTCTTCACGATCCATGTTCTCTGTCAGATCCATACATTTATTCATATTTTGCTTTGTTTTCTTTGATTGTGCGCCTTGTGCGGCGTCAACTTTTGCACAGGATATCGACCGCGTGGCTGAGAGGGTTCTCGGGGGGGACCTTAGTCTGCAGGATGCGGCCCGGTCTGGGGCAGTAGGCGCTGCTATAAAGATGGTGAGCGGGCTGGTCCCGGATGCGTTCCCCGTGTTTTGCCTACCTTGGTCCTCGCTTGTGCCTTCGCTCGGCCAGCAGAGGCCGGAGATGTTGCAGGTATTGACTGGACTAGGTACTTACACGGCCGTGCAGCTCATGATTGCCCGGCCCAGTGCAAGGTGGGCCGAGGCTCTGCGTGCAGTTCTGGACGTCTTGATGGATACTCACATGAAAAAGCCGACCTTCAGGGCCAAGCCGATCAAGATGTTGTTGTGCACCCTCACAGTCTGCGCGTCCACGCTGGAGTTGAGATCCTTGTTTTTGTCAGGCCGGCGTTCGCGCCTGAGGGCATGGAGATTGTGTCGCCCGCTGATGCCCGTCACTGCGGACGCGCTGGCTGCCACAGGTACGGTAGGATCACTACTCTCTGCCAGAGTTTTGGTCGATTTCGTTGCTTTGCAGCTCAAGTACGCTATTGGTGATTCCGCCCATGCGCACGTTTATCAACTTTTCACCGCTAGTTCTGAGTATATTGGTCTCGCCCGCTGCAAACGGCGCAGCCTGAAGGATTCAGGGTTAGCGGGAGGCGTTTGCAGGTATTTCGAGCACTACGGATCCTTCACGAAGCTGGCGGCCTCACGCCGTGCCCGGGTACCGACGCAGGCACGCTACCTGTCGTTATTGGGCACGCCGCATTGCAAGCTTCGCTGTATCTGCGTTGGTGCTTCAGGTGAGCAGTCAGCGGCCTCACTGGAGAGCTTTGATTGGTTGGGCACACCCTCGTGCGAATTATATTCACTCGGTTGGAGGGCCGCCTCTGCCTCCGACATCTTGCACGTCGACGCCTTCCCCTTCGAGTGCGTGCCGGGCGCGCCGTTCTCAGCGTGATAGACGCGTACGCCTTGGGTCCCCGTCCACTTCGGATGACAGGTTTCGTTTCTTTGCATGTTACATTCGTTATGTTATTCGTGCTGGGGAGAGCTTTGCGAAGTACAGGGCAAATGCGGCGTCAGTGCAGTCGATCCTGCGGGCACCGTTCCAGGACGTTTACCGGAAATTTCAGCGCCGACAGCTTCTTCCAGGACCTGTTGATATTTCTGCCAAGGGCAATTTGTGGATGCTACTCAAGTTTGCGGGCCAAAGGCACAGTGGCAACAAATGGAACCCACCCAACGTCGATGTGATACTTCGCAGCACCTTGAAACGTGGCTGTGGTGGTGACGTTTTGTATTTCTTCCACAACTCGTGCCGTGCCCTACCACATGTATGCGACAAGGCACGTGCGCAGCAGACTATCATATGTGCGCTGCGAGAGCTGCATTTTCCGAGGCCGACGGGATTTATTTTGCGAGTGTCTTCCGAGGCTTTCAAGCCTGTTATTTGGAAATGGGTCCGTGCAGTATTCCACGAGATGCGTGCCAGGCCGCAGGTTGAGCATTGGGTATCGCACTGCCGCCGCAGCTTGAAGATCGTGCCGAGCCCAGTGTTCACCCATAAGCGCCTTCTTTTTGACGCCCCCATGAAGCTACGCAGTTTGAAGATGGACGCTTTGAAGCAGTTGGTTGACCAGGATTGCGAGCCGTATTGTCGTGGATGTGACATGTTCCGTATACCCATGAATGCGAAAGGCCGGGTCGAGCTGTCGACGCGTGCGCTCGCTTTCTCCCAGCTCTCTGAATGCAGGCGTTGGCTTGGGCAATCAAGGTTTTCTCTTCTCTGCATGCGTTATCTTTCATATGCTGCTCTTGCTGCTTCCGCGGACGTTGTGGTACCGCATTTACATGATAGTCTCGTGCAGGAGATCTTTGATGCTGCTCATGCCGTGTCGAGCCGGAACCCCAGGACGTGCTACACCATGGACGACAAGGATGCCGGTACCATGTGGGGGTCTTCTGTGGAAGGAATGTGGTTCCGGATGTTTCGCCAGTTTCTTGCTTCGGACGGGCGGTGGACCGTTGCAGCGATGTCCCCGAGCAGCCTCGTCGACATGTACCGTGGTTTATGCGATACCGTCTTACCGAAGTGCTTGTTGCCCAGATCTGCGCCGGTATCAATGTCTACCGTGCCGTACGTTTACGGTACTGTGAAATCGAAGTGTTGGGGGGAGAGTGCCGACGGTTACACTTTTAAACGCTGTTCGAAGGCGGGGCATTCTTGCCTCAGGAATATTGTTAGTTTCTTTCGCCTCCCTTGCCGTTCGAGCCTTCGCCGTGCCGCGCGTGCCGTACAAATCGTGATCATGAAGGTTTGGCACGGCGGAGCTGAGCTGTGGAACTTGGCCACGGCGTTCGATGAGATCCGGGAGGGGGCTGGCGAGCTCATCGGCCCCGCGCCAGCTTCGTCACCTCGTTGCGCTATGTGTGGTACGTGCATGGAACGGCCTGGTGTTGTCGTTGCAGACGCAGCGCAGGCGTTTGAAATGGTATCCCAGGACTCCGTTCGAGGGTCAATCGAATCTCTGTTCGCTGATGCGGGAGCCCGTGGATTTCCTGACACTGTACACGTGTTCCGCGAGGCCCGGTTGAACGGCGATTTCGGCGGGTCCATCGGTGTAGTGCACAAGGACAGGGACGTGTTCACCTTCCACACCTTGCGGCGCTGCTGTGACGTTGTCTTGAGGATGGCATGTTACCGATTCGGGCCTCTAGTGGTCACGCAGCTTTCTGGCATCCCGATCGGTGGGCCGATGAGCCGCATCCTTTTGAGCGTCGTCTGCTGCCATAGGGAGTTCGTCTTCGACCAGCGCGTCTGGAGACACATGTGTGCGAGGTGGCATCTACCTGCTGATCGGAAGCGGTGCGTGGCCGTGAAGCGCTATGTTGACGATTATTGTTCATTTTCGAATAGGTTCTGTGATTCATGCTTGGAGCAGCTTATGGCATGCATATAATGACGACGTTTTGCGCTTCCAACCCGAGCCTCACTTCAGAGATAATGTCCAGGAGGTTACTTTCAAGTACCTGGATGGGCTGATTACTTTGAGTTTTACTGCGCTTACGGTCGGCCATTACAACCCGAATGAGCAGTTTATTCTGACAGGAAATGAAGCCTTGAGGGGGAAGAGGCGTTTGCAGCCGTACGTGGAGCATGCAACGAGGGAACATATGCGCCGTTGGGCCTCTGATCTGACTGCGCGACGAGCCCGGTGGGCGCAGATTGGCCTTCAGACCAAAGATTTGGTGTACGCGATTCTCTTGGACATTTTGGAGTTGCACCGGGAAGGCTATAGCAGCTTCTCCGTACAACAACTCTGGCGCATGCAAAGGCGCACCGGATCGGATTATGACATTGCTCTCTTGTTGCTCCGGTTCGGCTTCCGCACGTCGATGCCGCCGTACGCGCAGATGGCGCGTCTCGCGGACCAGCTGCGTAAGCGGTCCGGTGCGGATGCCCAGCAGCATCGCCTTGACCAGTTCTACGGATTGGCCCCGAGTGAGTTCATCCACGCGTGCATTGGGGCCTACTATGCTGAACAGTGTCTGAGGGCGTATTGTGTTCTCCATGCGTTTCTGCGCGGATTCTGACCCTCCGCCCCTCACAATTGAAAGGGTTTATATTGAAGCAGTTGTCGGGCAGAGGTGCCAGTTGCAGACAGTCTCCACTTTCCCCTGCCCTGCCCCCCTTGCCTCTCCTTCGTCCTATTTCTCCCGTAGCACTGCTCGAGTCCGTTTCCCCGGAAGGGGCCACACTGGCAAGGCAGGAGGCGCTTATGTTCGATGGTGGGCCTCAGGCGGACAAGAAAGTGCACTGGCGATCATTGTCGGTGATCCATCCTGCATCTTGCGATTGTTCTCTTCCAGATCATGTGCAATGCATTCCATACTCGTCGAGGTGGGGGGGGGGGCGCGACGCACACAGTATAAATACGTTGGGGTGACGCCGAGGACAGACGGAAGGTGCACGCACAATCCGCGGGCGCACGCTAACATGAGTAGAATTCGTGGATCTGGCGCGTGGGCGCCAAATCCACGGATCGGGGAAGAACCCCCCCGAAACGTGGCACCAATGCCGGCTGGTCTGGCGAATGATCGCGCCGGTTTCGTACAGCGAAGGCCAGTCCACAATAAATCTTTCACAAAAATCCCAACCCTGAGACCCAAGGACGTCAGTTGACTTTTGGTGCGGGAACGTCACGCTTTCCTCAGCAAAGCTGTCGAAACCCAAGAAGCCCACAGGGCACCCTGGAGGCAAGCCGGGTGCTTCTTGGCGTGGGTCCCCACTGCATGCGAAATGAGACCCTTCGCTGGCCCACGCGCCTTACAGTCAACCCGTATGTAAAGGATGCGCGGTAATGATGCAAGGGCCTTGGACGCCCATTTCGAAGCTCCTCGAGCGGGGCGCGGCCAGCGAACGCGGCCAAGGATGGGCCGAGGAGGCAAGGATGCAAGGGTACCCTGGGGAAGGCTGCCCATCCTTACTGTGCGGGTTGACTGTACACTCCATGCTTGCGCTTCCTCGAAGACCGAGCCTCGGCGGTGGACAAACCTCCCTTTAGTACACCTCCACTCAGTGAAAACGGCCTGGGACCGAAACCGACGGACCTGGGCCCGCAAAAATGGCGGCCGCGACGCCCTCTCGCGAACCGAAAACGGCCCATTCCTTGATCGACGTGTCAGGGTGGGAGGTCTGTCCACCCCCGAGAGCCCTGGGGCCCGACGGCGCCAGTCCTCCGGCCAGGCCGGGCGGGGCAGAGGCCGGGCGGCAGGCCCACGGCGCGGCGCCCCTTTCCTGCGGACCGAGCGGCCCTGGGCCCCAGCGGCGGCCGTGCCGCGCGCCGCCGGGTCCACCGCTCCTCTGCGCGGGGGGGCGCCCAACGCCCGCCTCCCCCGAACTCTCGGGCTCAGGCCCTGGCTCGAGCTCGAGCTTGGGCTCTGGCTTCGGCTCAGGCTCAGCATCGCACTTCGCGGCCCCCCCCATGGGTGGCGAGGTCTTTCTGGGATCTGCGTGGGGCCCCATCGTGCGGGATCCCCCAGCAGCCCTTCAAAAGTGGCGACAGTTGAACACTGCGCAGCCCCCCCAAGGATGGCGCAGTCCTGTTTGGGTCTGCGTGAAATCCCACTGTGCTGGCTCCCCCTGCAACCCTCGGAAATGGCGACAGTTTCACACTTCGCAGCCCCCCCAGGGATGGCGAGGTTTGGGTCTGCGTGGGACCCCACTGTGCTGCCCCCCCCCCCCCAGCCCTCGAAAGTGGCGACAGTTTTACACTTCGCAGTCCCCAAGGGATGGCCAGGTCTCGTTTGGGTCTGCTTGTGGCCCCACTGTGCGGGCTGCCCCAGCAGCCCTCGAAAGTGGCGACAGTTTCACACTGCCCAGCACCCCCAGGGATGGCGAGGTCCCGTTTAGGTCTGCGTGGGACCCCACTGTGGGGGCTCCCCCAGCAGGCAGATGCAGGCAGGCACAGGCAGGCGAGAGGAGGACAGAGGGCGGGATCAGAAGGAGAAGGGAGTTAGCGATCTTACTGTTTTATTCAAAACGAAAACCCAACCAAGGGAGGGTTGGGACAACATGTTCGCGTTCTCGCCTCTTTCGATTCTCGGGGGGCCATGACGGCCCAAGCAGCCTCCAAGAGGGCCCCAAAATGGCCCAAGAGGGCCCCAAGATTGCCCACAGAGGCCCCAATAAGGCTCACGAGGTCGCCAAGACGGCCCCTGAAGGCGGCCCCGAGAGACCCCCAAGACGGCCTCCGAAGGGGCCAGACGGCGCAAGAGCGCCCCAAGACGGTCCAACAGGCCCCAGACCCCAGTGGGGTTCCCAAGCGGCTTCAGGGTGCCCTCAAGAAGCCTCCGACATGCCCCAAAGAAGCCCCCAAACGGCCCAAAGAAACCACCAAGAGGCCCGCGGAATTGCATACGAACGGCGCGCTGTTGCTACGTTCATCGGAATTTGATCTTGGCGTTGCCTTGTGCTGACACACGGTGAATGCTCATTCCCCTCGTGGGCATTCGCACGTTCGTCCCTACGATGAAACTGGGGGGGCGGTCTCCCCCCTAGCACCTCCTTCTCCTCTGCCCCTTTCCCCCTCCTTCTCCTTTCTTTTGCTCCTCCTCCTCGTTGCAAATCAAGAACACCAAGAAAACAACAAGTTTGGCGCCTGCGGTGCCACGAAACGCTCTTTATGTGTGGTTGGTTGTGCATTCCTGGCTTGGGAAGCAACGAGACACTGTGCATGTTTGACTTGTTTGTAGTGTTTCGTTTGGGAAGCTCAAGTTCTCCCCACGGCCTCCCCCGCAGTACCTCATCCCTTCTCCCCCTTCCCCTTGTCCCCACCTTCTCATTTCGCTTGCTCTTCTTGTTGCAAAGCAGAGGCACGAAGAATTGACAGTATTTAACGCCCTGGGTGCCACGAAACGCTGTCTTTTGATTGCTTTGTATCTTTGGTCTGGGAAACCACCGAAACACTGTGTGTGTTTGACGTGGTTGTGTTTGTTTGGTGTTCGAGGCTCCGGAACAGGAGTATGTGGTGTTGGGGGGAGGCCGCGGGGAACACTGGATCTTCCAAGACAAAAAAAAATGCTTTCTTGTTCCCCAAGCCAAGAATACAGAAAAAATACACAAATACACAGCGTTTCGTGGTACCTAAGGCGCGAAACACTGTATTATTGGCGCTCTTGCTTTGCAACAAGGAGGAGAAAATGAAAATGAAAAGAGGAGGAGAAAAGGTGAACGAGGACACGGATGAGGTGCTCGGGGGGAGGCTGCGGGGAGCACTTGAGCTTCCAAAACCAAACATACACAGTGCGGCGTTGCTTCCAGACCAAAATCACCCAACAACAACAAAAACAGCGTCTCGTGGCACCGAGGGCGCCAAACACTGTGTAGTTCTGTTGTTTGGAATGTTGCATCTCGGGAGGAGGAAAGGAGAAGGAGAAGAAGGAGGAAGAATAGAGGAGCATTGTAATCAGAAGGGCGAGTTGTGTTGGAGAAGCAGGAGGGGGGAAGAAGAAGATGAGTAAGAGGGAGATGATAATTAATGCCATTCAGCATAAGATGTATAGTCTTTGGGGGGGCAGAACATACACACACAAACAAAAACACGCACAGGACGGAGAGACATACCTCGGAGCACGGCCCACGAAGAGGCCGATCACTCGAGACGTCAGCGCGAAACTCGACCCCGCCTGGCAGACCAGCAAAAGCAGACAGCCAGATTCCTTCGGCCCGAACCCACGTTAACTGATAAGGAAAAGCGGGGGTGAAAGAGTATGAAGATAAACGCTCGGGCGAATCAACTCAGGGGGGGAAACATCCACCTGGAATCGGCGATACGTCGCCGACGAATCAGTGATAGGCCGGCCCCCGATAGCGAATCCGCACGCTCCTGGGGGGTGCAGCTATCAAGCCAAGATCGGCGATGAATGGGCGATGGGGGGTCGATGGATCCTCTTGCCTGAATCCATCCCCTCCGACGTTCCACATGAAGAGAGAGCCGCGGCGGCAAGAGGGCACAAAAAATCCACGCGACCACTCGACGAGCGCAACCGCCGGACAACGAGACGTCCTCGTCGCCCGCAGGACGCAGCTCGAGGCGAGGCTACTCGTCCGCGTCCTCGGACTCGTCGTCGGACTCCTCCTGCGAAACGCCGCGCAGTAAAGGTATCACAAGATGTGTGCTAAGGGAGGGCAAGGGCAACGACTGTGACGCTTGCGTGTGCAGACGGCAGGGACATTCTGAGGAGGCAATCCCTGGGAGGTCTTCGTGGGAACGACTGCGAGTCACTCGGCCAGTTCAGGGACCATCAGGCCTGACCAAGCTGGATTCAGCGGGACGAAAGCAGATTCAGCAGGATTACCTGGGTTAAGGCGGTTTTCGGCCAAGGATCTACCAACAACGCAGATGCTGAATGTAACATCCCAGAAGTTGCAACCAAACCATTTTCGTTCATTTGCACGCCACGGGCCCAGAGATGCCGACGGTAGCTGCGACTCTTCTATCCTGCAAGCTGGAAATATCAGATGCAATCACCGTATTACAATAAAGAACGCTAAGTCCGCCGACCCTGTCGGCATGTGCGAGAGGCTGTTTCGTTTAACTCGTCGTCGTCGTCATCATCATGGTCGTCGTCATCGTCGTCGTCGTCATCATCATGGTCGTCGTCGTCGTCGTCGTCGCCAGCGCCACTTCCCCCTTTTCCCTGGCTCCTCCTCCTTCAGCGTGCCAGCCAAAGCGGAACAGCCTAAGCGAAGTTGAGCAGCGTCGCAATTGAGTCGAAAAGGAAAACCTTCCCCGCGGGGGGGGGGGCCCGTGGGGGTAGGGGGGGGGTCCGGGAGGGGTTCCAGAGGTGGTCACGGGTCAGAATACGATCACCCCCGGGCCCGGGAAGGGCACCTGCGTAGGGGGTTGCTAGTAATGTGCCCGCAATAAGGAATCCTGAATCAGTGATCCTTCATAGGAGGGTCCTCATCCTTGGGGGGGGAAGCACCAA